CGTCAACTGCAGCGAGCCCAGCAACCACTGGACCAGCAGGATGGTGCCAACAGCAACTGGGGGCACCACAAGTACGGAGACTAGTCCAGCAGCCATGGATCCAGCAACCAGGGTGGGGCCAACAGCAACAGCCCATATTGGCACCACCTTTCAGAGCAACCTTCGATGGGGACCCAGAGAAGCTGATGTTTTTTCTCAACCAAGGGCGCTCTCACTTGAACCACTGGGCCTACCACTATCTGGACCCAGGTGCCATGGTCAACGTTATCGCGTCCAACCTAGAGGGAGAAGCATCTGAATGGCTGAACAATCTATATAGTGAGCAAGCCCCCAAACTGGGAGATCCCCACCTTTTCCTCCTAGGACTGAGAGAAAGATTTGAGGACCCATCCATAGGCCTCAAAGCAGCAGAACAGATCCACAAAATAAAACAAGCTGGCAGGCCTACCCTGGAGTACGTGCGAGTGTTCCACAAGATAGCAGGCCGAATAGAGGGGTGGCCCGAACAATCCCTGATTCAATACTTCATCGAGGGATTAGACAATCACCTCTCTCAGGCCTGCATCTATCGAGAAGTACCTGATCGGCTACAGGAGTGGTACCAGACAGCAGTGAAGCTAGATGTTAAGCTCTCTCACTATAAGAAGCCTTCCCCACATGAACCCGAGCAGCAACCAGAGCTACCCGGACAGCAATCACCCCCATGAAAGCCTTCAACTACTGCAATGGCTGAGAGACCCAGGCCACCTACACGCCCTTTCTTTAAGTGTTTCCGATGTGGACAAGAAGGACATCAAGCGGCCACCTGTCCAGTCCCCTACCCCCGACTACAGAGCAGACCGGAACCAGCAATACGAAAGAAACCTGCTCAGCAGCTAACGAGAGAAAAATCCAACCGGCTCACGCAGGAACTTGTCGCCCAGATTACATCCCCCACATAGGAGGATGCTGAGACTCCAGGTGGACCCGCCCCTGCTCTACCTTCCTTTGACAGTGATGATGAAGGAGAGAACGACCTGATGGTGAGTCGACAAATCCCGCATTTTTCACTGGCCACCAAATTTATAATCCCTAAGTCTAGGGCACAAATGGACTTAAACGTGCTGATTGATTCTGGATGCATCCACTGCATTATCAGTCTGCCATTTGCCATGAAAATGGGCATATGAGCAAAACAGCTTTCCAAACCGGTGAGGTTTGAGCAAGCCGATGGCTCCCTGATGGGAGGGACTCTTGTCACACAATTAACTGAGCCCTTACGCCTAGAAATAGGTGCACACTGAGAGTTCATTCGCTTCCTGGTGGCTCCAAAAATGACTGAAGCGGTGATCCTAGGGCTAACCTGGTTAGACAAATGGAAGCCGTTTATCTGGTGGGAGAAAGGAATGAGAACTGTGAGACTACCTATAGGGCCTAATTCCCCTGTTGATTCAACAGATGTTGCTGGGCATCTTAGGCCACCCAATGAGTGAGGGCACATGGCCGCCTCACTGCCTCCAGGTGAACCAGTCATCCCCAATGAATACTGAGACCTGGAGGAGGCATTTAGTGAAAAAGAATGTGATACCCTGCCCCCTCACAGACCCAATGACTGCTCCATCGAACTGGTGCCAGGAGCCAAACTCCCACGACCGAGAATGTATGCCATGTCCCCCCTCGAAATGGAGGAGATGCAGTGATACACGAGCAAAAACCTAGCGAGGGGGTTTATCAAATGGGCCAAATCTACCGTGGGAGCCCCTGTGTTTTTCAAAGAGAAAAATGTGGGTCTCTTCATCTCTGCATAGACTATAAGTGTCTGAACACTGTGAGTGTGGAAAATAAATACCCCCTCCCCCTCCTAAAGGATTTATTAACCCATCTGGCTAAGGGGAGTGTCTTCATTAAATTAGACCTAAGAGAGGCATATTACCAGGTGAGAATAAAAGAGGGAGACGAGTGGAAAACTGCCTTCAACTGTCCTATGGGGAGCTATCAGTTCAAAGTCATGCCATTTGAACTACAGGGGGACTCAGCCGTATTTATGCAGTTGATTAATGAGGTCCTACATGATCACTTGTACAAAGGGGTTTTGGTGTATCTTGATGATATTCTGATATACAGCATGAATATGACTGATCACATAAAGCTGGTGAGAGAAGTGTTAAAGAAACTATTGAATGCCAAGCTTTATGCCAAATTGTCAAAATGTAAATTTCACCAGACCCAATTAGATTATCTTGGCTACAGAATTTCCAACGAGGGCATAGAAATGGACCCAGCCAAAGTGAAAACTATAACTGAAGGCTTGCAAACAGCTTCAGAGCTTTTTGAGTTTTGCCAACTTCTATCGTCAATTCATCCCCTCTTTTGCCGAGATTGCCCTACCCCTTACAGAACTACTCAAAACAGGCAAAGGAGGAGGGAAGCCATGACCAGGCCAATCACTAGCATGGACAATGGGCTGTCAAACAGCTTTTGAGAATTTAAAGAGACTATTTGCTGCTGAACCAGTCCTAAAGCACCCCTGCCCAGGGGAGCCCTTTGTGATTCAAGCCAATGCCAGCGATGTGGCAGTCGGAGCTGTGTTACTGCAAAAGAACAAAAGTGGGATCCTGCAACCCTGTGCCTACACCTCTAAGAAATTTACTGAGAGCAAGCGGAGATGGGCAATCTGGGAGAAAGAGGCCTTCATGATTAGATGGGTGCTATTAAACTGGCAACACTATCTAGAAGGGAGCAAGGTGCCATTTGAGGTATGGACAGATTACAAAGATCTAGAAGCACTGAAAACTCCCCTCAAATTGTCCTCAAAGCAAGTACGGCGGGCACAGTACTTTAACCGCTTCAACTTTACTCTAAAGTACATACCAGGAGGAAAGAACTTCCTAGCTGATGCACTATCCCGGTTACCCCAATACAAAAGCAAACAGGAGGAGGTTAACGAGGCAATTATCCCCAATCCACAAACTGCTGCTCAACTTACACTTCGCAGGGTCCCCAATCCTGATGACCCTGGAGTAAAGAAAGTATAACAAGAGCTCCTCACTGACCAATGGTTCAAAGACAATCACACCTTCCTAACATGCAGGGATGGCCTGGCTTACAAAGGGGGGAAACTATATTTGCCATGAGCCCTCCATCTTAATGCTCTCAAACACAGCCATGATGTAAAACAGGCTGGACACTTTGGATATTTGAAAACCCTACACCTCACCCACTGGCAATTTTGGTGGCTGGGACTGAAAAGGGATGTGGAAAACTATGTAAAAAGTTGTACTGTATGTGCCACAATGAAAAGAATCCCAGGGAAAACCCCTGGGTTACTGCAACCCGTAGCACACCCTTCTCAGCCATGGGAAGAAATAGCTATGGACTTCATAGTAGACCTACCTGAAAGTAGTGGAAACACTGTCATCTGGACTGTAATAGACCTGTTCTCAAAGCGGGCTCATTTCATCACCTGCAAAGGACTCCCATCTGCCCAACGACTGAACCAAATTGTTCCTGAAACATATCTACTGGCTGCATGGTGCCCCTAAGCAAATAATTTCGGACAGGGGGGTACAGTTCACAATGAAGTTTTAGAGGAGTTTCCTTAAATTAATTGGATCATCTCAAGGTTTATCATCTGCTTTTCATCCTGTCACGAATGGGGCTGCAGAATCCGCTAACAAAATAGTGAAGCAATATCTTAGATGTTATATTTCTTACCAGCAGACAAATTGGACTGACCTCCCTTTTGCGGAGGTGGCATACAATAATTCTGTGCACAGCAGCACTGGTTACATGCCTTTCAGAGTGGCCACAGGAAAAGAGTTCAGCCCAATACCTGAATACCCTCAGGTGCCCTCCGATTCCCAGACACTTGACCAATGGGTGAGAGGGTGGGAAGAAGTTTGGAGAAACACAAAAACTGCTTTAACAAAGACTTTTGAAACCTATAAAAAACAGGTTGATAGAAAGAGAGCTCCCCAAAAAAACATTCCAAGTTGGGGAAAAGGTTTATTTGTCAACTAAATATCTACACTTCAAATTGCCCAGCAAGAAATTGGGACCAAAATTCTTGGGGCCTTTCCCCATAGTAAGGATCATCAACCTGGTCACAGTAGAACTAAAACTCCCTAGACTTTTAGGGAAAATTCACCCACTTTTTCATTGTAGCTTGTTGAAACCTTATTGGAGCTCCACTCTAAGACCTCCCCCGAAGAAGGCACCTGGGCCCCTCGTAGTTGTGGGACAAACCCACTATGAAATGAAATGTATTCTTTAGAGTTTTTAAAGGGAAATTGCAGTACCTAGTACAATGGAAGGGATACCCGTTGTCTGAAGCCATCTGGGTGAAATCCAGTGAAGTGAAAGCTGACAGGCTCGTCAAAAGGTTTCATGCGAAATACCCCAACAAACTGTGAACTAGTCATTAACATATGCTTTGGCTACATTACAGGATCTGTCCTTTTTGTAGGGGGGGGGGGCGGATGTCAACGCTGCTAATATTGAATATTCTTGCTTTGACAATATATGCAGAACTGTCTGGTATTTTTAGAGTTAAATCATTTGACAGTGAAAGGGGAGGAGAATATAAGGAAAGCCAGGGAAAAAGAAACAGAAGTGAATCTTTGCCCTCCAAGTTAATTGGAAGATGTGAATCATGACCCCAAAATAGGGGAGGGGAAATGCCTGGAATGTTATGTGCAAAGGAAGGGAAATTCAGATCTTAGCATTTCCACCATACCGTGCTGACATCTCTGTAATATTTATAAAGGCTTTTTAGGCAAAAAAAAATGCCTGAAAGTTCTTTGAAGTGTTTCGTTAATCAGACACATGACAGTATTATTTGGAAGTAAGACAGTGACTAACCCAATTCAAATAATTAATGCAACATATGATTTGCTTCTTGAGTTTTGAGTATGAGTTAAAAAAGAAAAATAATATTTTAAGAGAAATGTGAACATTTTAATAAATAGATGATCTGCTTCTTCTAAATTTTTTCTAATATATGTATCTAATCTCCTTTGCAGGAATACCAAATTGATATTTTTTTTGCTCAGACATGGACTGACAGCCGTCTTCGTTTCAACAGCACTATGAAAAAAAGTCTCACTCTCAACAGCAATATGGTTGGGTTAATTTGGATCCCAGATACTATTTTTAGGAATTCTAAAACTGCAGAAGCTCACTGGATTACTACACCCAATCAGCTCCTAAGAATATGGAATGATGGGAAAATCTTGTATACTTTAAGGTAAGAAGCATTTGTGTCTTTCAATAAGGGCTAGTTTAAATAATCCTTCACCCTTTTATAGAAATTAATGTAATTTCAATTTTATAACAGAAACGTAGCTGACAGAGGGCCTTGTCTCAAAGATAAGAACTATAATCAGCTTGGACTTAAATTGGACTGTTCAGGCAATTTGTTTCCTTAGGTCTGATGTATTTTAGTGACCTATACAATGGGATGTGTTGAGTTATTCCTGTTATTCCTGTCAAATAGGACAAAAATTTAAAATATTTTCATAGCCAGAATTATGACAAGTCCTTGATTTATGACTACAATTGAGCCCAAAATTTCCTTTGCTAAGCAAGACAGTTGTTAAGTGAGTTTTGCCCATTTTACAACCTTCCTTATGATAGTTGTTAAGTGACTCACTGCAGTTCTTAAGTTAGTAACCCAGTTGTTAAGTGAATCTGGCTTCCCCTTTGACTTTGCTAGTCAGAAGGTTGAAAAAGGTGATCACATGACCCCAGGAGACTGCAACCATCATAAATACATGCCAGTTCCCAAGCATCCAGATTTTGTTTATGGGAATGCTGCAACAGTTGCAACTGTAAAAAACAATCATAAGTCATCATTTTCAGTGGGGGGACTAAACCAATAAAATTGAAAGGTTGTAAGTTGAGGATTACCTGTACTATATACCTATAACTACATATGCATGTTAATGTATATTTCCCAGAACCAGAGGTAAAGGTAAGTATCAAATTTAGCTTATGGCTCTGAAAGTCATCCATGGAAATATTAAAATCTAGGACTTTAGATTCAAATTAAAATAAAGGTGCTCTGATCCATGTTGTGACATTTAATCAGCCCTATATAGAAGTCCATGAAGAGGCTGCATCTTCTCTGGGATTGAGCAGTTCTTTTGATATCTGTAGCACAATCCTGGAAAAGTCACAATAGGTATAAAACATGTAAGTAGGTGCTAAATGTATGATCCCCTTTCTATCGGAATCCAAAGTACTGGACAACACTAGTAAACAAATCTGAGTTCAATTAGTTTTCAAACCCAAACAAAATCAGCCAGATGACTGCATGAACCTATTCATGGATAGGTATCTATTGCAAACCACAGTGATATCACATGTGAGAAGACAGCACTGTGTAAATAGCATAATTCATGTCACTTGCATAATATCATTTATAAAATAGTAGCTTATTCCCCCCTCCCATTCCCATATAACAGTGTGGTTTCCTTAGCAATAATATGGAAGAGATTACCATTGCCTTCTTTCATGATGGTTTCTGCCTAGTAGTTGCATCAAAGAGAATCCTAAAAAAGCATTTTCTCATAATTTCCCAATTAAGCCTTTGAAATGACCAAGTTACTATTTTTTTATAGCCTGCTGTCATACCAAGAGAATAATAGGTACCTGATTTTCTCTAGGCTCACCATCAATGCTGAATGCCAGCTGCAGCTACATAATTTTCCCATGGATAAACATTCATGCCCGCTGATATTCTCCAGCTGTAAGTAATAGCCTTGGTGCATAACTACTATCTGTTAAAACTTTGCATAAAGACCTGAATTTGCTTTTCAATTTGACAGGTAGCTCTTACAGTGGCATTAGATTAAGGTGCCTATTTTCATATTTGTTAGGCATGTGACTTTCTCCATCTGCACTTGCAGCAGGACGTTTTTCACCCTGCAGTATTATCACAAATGACAAGAACTATTAATTTGTAGTCCCAATTATGAATAGGCTGAAAAATGATGCTCAGAATGCAGCAAGCAGGTGTTACAAATAAAGATTCATTTATTTTGAAATGTATTAAAGGTACATAACAAATAGCTTAAAAGCAGCTCTAATCTATCAGTTAGGATTGGACAAATGATGTTTTCCTTTTCTTGTTTCATATGTTTGCCAACTCTAATTGGGTAATTGTTATATGTGGTTGTATGCTCATGTGCCAATACATCTCAGCATTGTTGAGCAAACCTGCCATCCTTGTTGGTAACCCTGTTGCCAGTCAGAATCTCATACAGCAAAAGGATGAAAAATGCAAGTTCTTACTTTAAATTACAAACACAAACATTACCAACATCCAGTTAAGAATATTTACGATGCTACCCTGATGCTTTGGTGTGTGGTGTGTGTGTGTATATTAACACACACACTTTCTATGGGATTCTTTGAAACCCAGAAAATGCAACCATCGGTTAATGAGGGAAGATTCAGTTTTCTATTTGAGCACTTTGAAATATACATGGTTGGATGGACAATATTAAGATCTAAATATAATAGCATTCTAGCATCTATTATGTCAGTTACAAAGCAATGGAATGGAATGAATAATAAAAAAGATTTGATCCTTTTTTCCATGCTAAAATGACTTTATGGGGAAATCCAATATTAAAAATTGGGAAAATGATGATAATATAGAAAAAATGGATAAAAGCAGCGATATTGATTTTTTGATCAATTGATAGAGGATGAGATGAAATTTTAACTTACTGTGTGCTAAGAGTCAAATAGCATCTATCAATAGCATCTGATGCAGCTCAGTGGCAATATTTACAGCTAAAACATCTGTTAACAACAATGTTTAGACCATCAGCATTTTCAGCTTCTGAAACACCCAAAATACTAGATCAATTTGTTCAATCTTTTAAAAGTTAAAAAAAGTACTTTTCTATATCTGAAACTTGTATGCTTTCACTAGCATATAACTTTGGATAAAAATCTAAAAAACTCCTTTTAATCAAATTTTGTTGATAAACCTCTTTACCTTTATAATCTATTTTCTCTATAATCCTTAACTTCTGTTTCTTCCATAATTGATAAGCCAACCACCTACCAGGCTTATTTGCATTAAAAAATGTATTATGTTTCATGTAATTTAAATTAATTGCAGTCTGATCAGCCATTAACATGTTCAATTGCTCCTTAAGCATATTTATAGAAACCTTTAACCTATTATCCAATGAATTCAAAATAAAAGTCTTCTCTTTCACTTTGATCTCTTCTTCCAACTATTCATGTTTTTTCGCCTGTTTGCGCCTATGCGCATTATTCATGTGGATCAAAACCCCTCTCATATAAGCTTTGCTAGCATCCCATGCCATAGCCATTGAGGTAGCTTTATGCATATTCAAAACAAAAAATTCCTTCAAATATTCTCTACATTTCTGCAAAATCCCCTCATATCTAAATAAGTTCTCATTCAACCTCCAAGATCTTCTATTCCCTTCTTCAACAAATAATTCCAACCATACAGGACTGTGATCCGACAATGTCCTAGGAAAAATCTTGACATTCTTGACCCTAGAAAAGTGATCAGTAGTAATTAAAAAAAATCAATTCTAGAAAACGATTTATGCCTATCCGAAAAAAAGTAAAGTCTCTGTCCTCCATGTTCCATTCTCTCCAAATATCTCTGAGTTCCAGATCATCCTTCAAATAAAAAAAAACCTTTAGGTAATTTAGCGTGATTGGAAGATTTAGAAAATCCTTTCTTGTCCTTACTTGTGTCTATAACTCCATTCCAATCACCCATCATAATAACAGATTTATAATCCAGTTGAGTTAGTTTCTGATGTATCAACTTATAAAACTGTTTTTGTTGATGATTAGGGGTGTATAATCCAATAATAAGAAATCTCTTACCATATAATAATAGATCAATAATAACATATCTTCCTTGTGGATCAGAATCAATTAATTTTGCCGATAAATCTTTCCTCACGTAAATAACTACACCCCCTTTTTTTCCAGAGCAGAGGGTATAAAATGTAATCCCAACTGGGAGTTAATCAAATACTTTTGGTCCTTTGAAGTAATATGAGTCTCTTGCAAACATACAACATCATTCTTATATTGTTTCAAATAGTGAAATAATTTCTTTTCTGTGGTGAATTCAGACCATTAACATTCCATGTCAGAAACTTTGCCATCTTTAGTGGCTTGAAGCCTCTGGAACACTGCTTGAAGATCAGCTGTTGATGATCTCTTCAGTCTTGTCCCTCCCACAGACTCTGAAGTAGTCGAGTATGTTATAGATCCAACATCCACTTTTTGCTGTTCTTTTTCTTTACGTCTATGAGCTGCACGAGTCATTCTCTGTTCCTTTGGATCATCTTTTGCCTCCAAACACTGTTACATAGATTCAGCCTGCAAATTTCCTACCACTAATGATGTTGCACCTTCAACCAGCTGTTCTTCCAGTTTTTCTTCAATTCTCTTAGGTCGTGGAGATAGTGGTGAGCCTGCCTTCAGGACAGAGGTATAAAAATTTCTCGCTTTTAAAATTGTATTAAGTCTATAATGTGTCCCAGCATAGTTCACCACTATTCCAACAGGTAACTCCCATCTGAACTGAACCTGTCATTTTTTCAGCTCCTCAGACAAAAAAGCAAAATCCTTTCTTTTTCTAAGAATTTTTGGAGGTATTTCTTTTAAAATTATGACATCTTGAGCTGCAATTTGAAATCTCTGCTTATAAAAAGTCTGTATAATTTCATTACAAAGTGTTCTTCTGGAAAAATTGATAACCACATCTCTTGATAAATTTCTCTGCCTCGCAATCCATGAATTAACCCTAAAAATTTTATCTATCTATCTCAGAATTTCTTCAGGTTCACATCCCAAAGTGGAAGCTAAATCTGCTGCTATTTCCTCTCTCAGATTCTCTTGCAATTTCTCCTTCAGCCCTCTTATTTGCAAAGCAAATTCCATGTCTCTATATTGTGACATAGTAATTTCATCCTGTGTTATATCAACCTTATTTTCAATTTTACCAACTCTATCTTCTAATCTTTCAGCATTTTCCACCACATCATCCACACGCTCATCTAGACGCTCTATATGGGCTGCTAACCTTTGAAGTGCAAGCACTATGTCCTCCCTCATCTCCCTATTTTTATCTTCAAAAAGCTCTGCCATCTCTTCTTTAATCTGTCGTGCTGTTTTTCCCAAAGCATCCTGTATATCTTTAAGTGTAAATGCCGGCAGTGGGGGAGAAGGTGTGGGAGACTTAGGCTTAGTTTGCTGTGCAGTCTGAGTTATCAGAGAGGAAATTGAGCCTTTAGGAAGAGCAGAAATTCCGAGGCGTTTTGAAACCATTTTCAAACTATTTAGAACCACTTCTTATAAGTCTTGTATAATCTTATAAAACCAACAATTACAAAAAAAAAAGAAAAAGAAGGGAGGGGATAGTAAAAACAAATCCCCCCCAAATAAGAAAAGAAGCTTGCTTTTTAAATGAGCAACCAAAATCCATTACATTGTTTAAACTTTGTTGCCAATAAAAGTCTTTCTTAACAATGTCCTTTCAGACAAAGAAACAGCATTCCTGTGCCATTTTTCTCTTCTTCCTTTTATTAAAATTAATAAGTGGAGAAGGTTCTTTAATTATTTCCTGAGTTAAAGTCCCAAATTCTCACAATTCTGATCCCTCCTTGTCAGCTCCATCTGCTTTTAATTTTACTCACAGATCTCTCTAAAATGCAGATGTGGAAGCAGCATCTAGCTTTGTTCCTAAGAACAAAGGCGTCCTGGGATGCAGAGAAAACTTTGGACTCCGTGGGAGTTCTCACCCTTTGACCTCCAAAAAGAAGATTTATGGAGGTCTTGGGGAACTCAACCTCTATCTGGGAAAGCTCACCTCCTCCCCTTCTCCCAAAGAGAGAGGCTCCAAGCCGCGAAACAGCTGCTGTTCACCGTCTCTGCAGACTTTAACACATTATCAGGGCGGATGGCTAAGAAAAAGCCACCATCGGCACAGCACATTTTCCTAGACTTTCAAATGATCAACGAGATGAGATGAATTGTTTAATTACTTCTGAGGAAATTACTTGGGTGATTAAACAGTTAAAGGTTGGTAAGGCTCCTGGTATAGATGGATTAACAGCAATCTATTATAAAATGTTATCTGAAGAAATGATAGAACCATTAAAGGAACTTTTTAATAGTATTTTGTTGGGAGCAGAGGTACCTCTGTCTTGGAGAAGGGCTTTTATATCATTGATTCCAAAGGAGGATCAAGATTTTACTCAGCCTAAGAATTATAGACCTGTATCTCTTTTGAATACAGATTATAAGATTTTTTTGAAAATATTGGCAAATAAATTAATGCATGTTTTGAAGCAATTGATCCATAGTGATCAATCTGGATTTATAATTGGGAGATATATGAAATATAACGTAAGACAAATTGTTAACCTAATTAAGTATTTGGACAAGAACAATCAAATCCCTGCAGCTTTGATATTTTTGGATGCTGAAAAAGCTTTTGATCAGTTAAATTGGCAATTTTTATTGAGAGCTGTAGAAAAAATGAATTTTGGGGATAAATTTTTGTATGCTCTTAAGGCTATATATCAACAACAATTGGCACAAATTATAATTAATGGGGGATTAACAAAAGCATTTAAAATTGAAAAGGGTGCAAGACAGGGATGTCCATTATCCCCATTGTTATTTGTTTTAACAATGGAGATTTTACTTATTAAAATTCGAGAATCACCTACAATAAAGGG